TTAGGACTTGTAGTGTTCTTCCACGCTTTTCTTTAATGAAGCTTATAGTCCTTGGTTTTAGTCCTAGATCCATGATCCACCTTGAGTTGGTTTTTGTATATGGAGTGAGGTGTGGATCTTGCTTGAGTCTTTTGCAGATGCTTTTCCTATTTTGCCAACACCATTTGTTAAAAAGGCTGTTATTTTTCCACTTATCTGAGTTAACTCTTTGTCAAAAATCAGTTGGCCATAGATAGATCGGCTGATAGGAGGGTTATTTCAATGGCACCTCCCAAAGGGACAGGCTGGCTGTTGGTCCCAAATTGTCCTACTCAGAAGAGCACAGGGGAAAGGAAACAGTAAATAAGTAGGCACATGTGACACATGTTCTCAAGTACAGCAAATGATGTACTTTGAGTTCCTTCTTTCCAAGAACACAAGTTTTTATCACAGGACCTGTCTTTAAGTTCTAGCAGGCAGCTGCTGACTCGGGTCTTTCTTGTATCATTAGCTTGGGCGTGGTCAGAGAGCACCCAGGGAGTGACTTTCCATGAGTCAGCACCAACACACAGAGCAGTAAGCTGACAAAAGCAGCTTCCCCCTTGCTGAGGGGACTGGGGCTGTTCCAAATTGACATTTCCACCTGCTGCCAACATGACTCACTGGATCCCAGCTTGTGTCTGGGATCTGGTGAACACAAGCAAAAGCTTGTTCAACAGACTAGAAGAGTCAGGGCTCAGATCTGCTTCCTCAGGGGACTGAGGGGGGCAAGAGCGCCAGGGATGATCCTTGCTGGGAATCAAGATGGCAATGCCTGAAGTCCAGGCAGGCTGTAAACTGCTGCTTAGGCTTTCTCCAATTGAGATTTTGCTGGGAAAAGGTTTCACTTTATCTCAGAGCTTTCTGTCCAGGGACAAAGGTTTAAAGAAAATAAACAGAGCTCACTACAGTTGGTGTGATTCTGATTCAGAGAGACCACAGAGCAGGACAGGACTGGGGTCTCCAGGTGGCACAGCCCTTCCCTGCAGCACTACCTGCAGGGGTCTGAACAGCTAAGCCATAAATCAGTAGCTGCAAGACCTGACATTTAGGGAACACGATTTAAATCCCGGGGTAAAATGAAAAGGTCACAGCAGTTACAAAAAGGCCCATTGACTTTCTGATAAAAGAAGCCCATGCTTGTAAATTTTTAGGGCAGTAGCACACATCTTCTGGAGGTTAACCTTCTACACCAGGGTTTCTTAGGTGAGTTGTGAAAACAGACATTAGAGAAGTGAGTTTTCTTTTCTTCACTGTTCTCTTGCTGTTTATTTCCCACCCTACTATTCCTTCCAGAGAAAGCCTAGCTTATCCTCAGGGGATCTGCCTGCCCCAACATAGCTCCTTGATGCATGTATTTTCCCATCCTCCCCTAAAACACGATCACACTGTCTGTTCAGGACCTTGGTCTTTGTACTCAGAACAGAGAGATTAGTTCTCTTGGTTCTGGGTTTGCAGAAGGGATTGTAAGGGCAGAGGAGTGTACAGGAGTGAAAGAATTTCAGAGGAAGATAGACACTCACCTGATCGTAAACTATAAGCAGCTTTATACAACATGGGAGGATGCAACTATCTCCATATCCAAGTACTACTTTACATAAAAGCAACATGTCTTTTTTAATATAAAATCATACCAACCAAATAAATCTGTGACAGATACATAGTTTTAAGTATATACAATTTTTAACACAATTATTACAATCTGATAGAAAAGAAAGCATACTTCTTATATAATACAAAAACTGCATCACAAAGTCATTTCTTTAAAAGGTGAAATCCAGCTATACAATTAACTTCTTGGGCCATCTGTGACAGGATCCTATAGTTGTACTGGTCTTTCTAAATGTGTTCAACAAAAACAAAGTCCATAAAGAAATGCTTTTCAGAAAAGGCCTCTCCAAAGGGCTTAAAATACTGCAGTCTGACTTGTATCCTGAACAGTACCCACTACTAAATGATCTATGCATAACCAAATAAAGGGGGGATGGAGACAGCAAAATAATATGAGAGTAGTATGGGAAGATGACTGTTTAAACACAAAAATCCCACACAGATTTCTAAGACAGAAGGAACATTGAGAGTTATCAGTTACATGACTGGTGAGCTGAATGAAGATACCTTCTTAGAGAAGAAACACAGAGATAAATGGGGATTCTGTTGTCTTACATTAGTAAGCAAATCACTCTCTCCTCTGGTATAGGGCAGAGGACAGCTTCTGTGGCTGTGAAGAGCACCAGAGGAGATATGCAGTAAACTGGACAAAGACAGACACAACTGGACTTGTTCTAGTCTAAGAGTAGCTAACGTCTTTGAGAAGTGGGTGGAAATAGCAGCATAGCATAGCATAGCTCCAGATTAAGTTGTGTTCAAATTCAGACTCTGAGATCTACCAAGTGACTTGGGGATTTTAATGCTTACTTTGCAGGTTTCCTGTGAATGTTAAATGAGAACTTTGCAGCTAGCAAAGTTAATAGTACAAAGTATTATTCTATTATTTCCTTTTCATGGCACATTAGGTAAGACTGATCTTGACTGTGCATGGCATAAAAGTTCCCCAAAACTCACTGATCAAGAAGAACGCCTATCTCCTAAATATAAGGCAAACATATATACATACAAATATGTATATATTTATATATATATCTCTATATAGGCATTTTTATAAATAAAACACACTAACATATAACACTTAGAACAGTGTTACAAATAATATAAATAAAGCATCCACAATGAAGTTGCCCTATATGTAAAGAAGCAATTTTCTCTTCCTAGTAGACTAATTCCATACTCAAATTCAACCTCTTCTATAGAAGCAGGTTATGACCTAACATTCATGCTAATATATCTAATATATAAACAAAATGACTTCCTACAAACATTTACTCCGAGTTTTCGAAAACTCTCTCTCTGATGTTACTTGATTGGCAAAAAATGAGCACATTTTCAATCGTCACCCTGTGGACTAGGACTTTGTGCTTGGCTATCATAGAAGGTGTGCAGCTATCCTCCCCCAACACTAATTGTATCTAAACATGAGTAATAAACCCAATAGACAGGCACAGACATCTGGAATGCAGAATATGCATCCCTTATTTCCTGCTATGAAAACAGAAATGACTCTCCATAGTGACCCTGCTTAACACATTTTCATTAAGAGTCCTATGTACATATGTAAGGAAATATTGATGTATTTACATAGAAACTTGATTTTAAAAGTGTTGTATCCCAAAGCTATTTCTGGGAAACTAACATTTTTTTCACTTATGCTAAGACTGATTGACTTTTATCAGAATGCACCTTTCTTTACTAAAAGGACTCACAATTCAAAAGGGAGCAGTAACTCACGTTATTAGACACATTAAGCTGTTTTGGGTTTGTTTTTCTCTACATGTGGAGAGGAAAATCCTTCCCCCAGTCCTTGTCACTCAGGCAGCGGTGACCTGTGGTTTCCACTGACCGAGGCTTTAGGTATCTGTTTATAGTAACCACATAAAAAAGAAGCAGGAGAATCCAAACCATCCATGCCATGCATCCTCCAGAATAACATTTTCTTGATACATCGTTCAGGATACAGTCCATGTTGGAAGCTAGAAAAATAATTTTTACTTAATGGAAACATATTCCTACACAAATGGAATAGACTAGAAAGCTTTTGCCAAAGTGGGCTCCTTGTAGCCCTACTCTCTCTTTTTACATACAGCAATAGTATAACTAGACATGAAACTCAACTATATTCATGTTTTTTATTCAGTAACAATAGTAATTCATGGCTGTTGGATCACAACTGACTTGTAGATGACCCTCCAGTATGTTTTCAGAGGCCATCAGTTTTACTCCATTCAGGCCCAAAGTCTGTTCAATAACTTGCTATGCACCTGAGAGTTGGACAATGGATAAGGATGACAGAAGAAGAATTAAAATAGAATGCTAAATATCCCATGACTGCCAAAAGAGCAAATGTGTATTAGAGAAGATACAGCCAGAGTGCTCTTTGGAGGCAAGGATGACAAAGTTTCTTCTCTCATACTTTGAGCATGTTGTTAGGAGGGCATGTTGTCCTTTTCTTTGGAAAGGGACATCATACTTAGAATGGTAGAGGGTCAGTGAAAGAGAGGAAGATCCTAGATGAAATGGACTGACATAGTGATGGCAGCAATGACTCAAGTATATCAGAGAGGATGAGGATGGCACAGGAAAGGACGGAGTTCAGATATGTCGTTCACAGGGTTTCTCTATGAGTCATACTAGGCTTGATGAAACCTAACAACAAGTAATCTGGTGGGAGGAGACTGCCTATCTTTCCTGGTAGAGCAGCTGGTGTATTTGAACTGCTTGATTTTGGGTTGGCAGAGCAACTCCTTACTCACTAAACCACCAGAGCTCCCTTGAAAATTGAGCTGGTCTATGACCAGTTGCAGACAGAGATTAAATCAATGGATCACAATGTCACTTTTATAGAAAACACTACTATAAAACATATAATCAAGAACTGTTATTATTATAAACATCAAATAACAATTGCGGTTCACTGTAAAAAATGTCCTCAGGGAGTCTGGTAGCACAATACCAGAAAAGACAGAAAGATAACTTTCCATCTGAAAGTCTATTAATGGTAAACTGTAAACTAACTCTGTAATCCCCTGCTAGCTGAATAGGTCAATAGTTTGAATCTTTTGCATGAGTAGCTCTTACCCATACTGTCCTTGACTGAGGTTCCTAGAAAGTATGGAATGACCTACTTTTCTCTATAAGACTGACTATTATGGAAAACAAAGATGCGCCCCAATTAGAGGGTAGGGATGAGTAGAAGAAATATTTAAGGCATAAATAATATAAACCACAAATATTTTAAGGTATGATACATTCATTTATATGATAGTCCTCTAAAAAAAATAACAATTTTTCTCTTATGAGAATGAATGTCCTTTATAGCCAGCTCTGTGCAGTCCTGACTCCAAGAGGTGGCACAGCCCTGCGCATTGTCAGCTTTCCTGGGGTTGCTGAAGGGCTGCTGAAGGGCTGTCCAAAGGGATGGCTGCTGGAAACCAAACTGTCTTTTCAGTATAGTCATTTGAGACAGGTGGCAAAATAACAGGATTCCAACTTAAAAGTGCATTCTCTATTTCTGAAGGGACACTGTTGTTTCCTGAAAGACAGAAAGGTTTGGAAGCTTTATGATATGATTAAAAGCTGGCTTTTACAAAGTTATAATAAAAAAATGCTCTGATCAATAAAAAATGAGCAAATGTACAGTGCATTAGAATTTGGCTTCAATTTGATGGTCTGAAACATTTAAAAGTTGAGCTCCCAATAATAGTTAATTGATTTGAGAGTTACAAAATAAAAGCAGTAAGTTGGAAAGCTACTGCTCCAGAACTAACTCAAATGAAAAAGAAGCAGAGATGTATTCATATCCCCCCGTGCCCAAATCCTCTGCTAAGACACAAACCAAATCAAACTCCACTTGGTTTTATTTTCCAAAATTTAACAGAGGTTAGTAGACTGAGCCAAAAAAAATGTACATAATAACAGAATTTTTTTTTTTTAAAGGAGTTGTTCTCTGAAAGAAAATTCGGAAAGGTTTCTCTTTCCTTTCATAGTTTTAAACTGAGTGGAGACTATTTAGAAACATGATACTTAGAGTACCTCTCCTTACCTCTGCTGAACTCAGCTCTATTGTCTGTGCAACCAGGGCTGACACCATTCACACTGTCCTGGCAGCAGGTCTGCAGGGGAGGTACCGGTACTAAGATGTCCTTGATGTTCTCCTCAGAGAAATGGCCACAACTAGGGACTGTGGAAGCCAAACAAAGGGACATCTTTCCATGATTGAGTGGTGTCATTTCCAAACCATCCTGAGGAGAAGGGGTGACCACTTGGACCAAAGGAAGGGGACCACTGCTCAATGTGCTCTTTGTTTTTGTGAAGTATCTACAAATTTTAAACAAAATAAAGAGAATTATGTCTAGAGGAATCAATATGTTAAAACAAGCTTAACTTGCATATCATTTGGCATTTTGCATTTGCAGACTTCTATGAAAGATCACCCACATCTCATCTACTGCTTTTGAAGTTTGTTGAAACTAGGCTCATGCTCATCCAATTTCTGCCTGCTTCTGTTTACTCCCAAATCCAAAATGACTATATTTCAATGATCTGTGAGCATCAATGCAATTCTACCACTATAAAAAACTAAGATGTCATGAAATTGTTTTGCTTGTTTGTTTATAACATCAAGAGTAAGAAAACTATGGATAAGATACCACTGCATGTTTTTCATTTTGGTTGTTAGATTGAGGAAGGTCCTTGACTCCTCAGATCTGGTTCCTGGTTCCTTAAAGAGTTAGATATCCATATGGTTTGGCATCGATCATACCCCAACTCTACTCTGCTCACTTGTTTAATCTACTTTATAATTCAAGAGACTGATTCAAGATACATGGAAGAGTAATCCTACTTCATTATCATAATAAAGATCAAATGAGATCATAAGCACTGGCATACTGGTAAGAATTTACAACACATTTTTGAGAGGTAAGTTTAGAGAGCATTATACTGAGTGAAATAATACAATCTCATAAGGACAAATGTGGCATAGGACTATTATTGTAAAAATAGAAGGATAACTGAGTAAGATATTTGTAAATATTCAAAAGGAGAAGGGAAAAGATGAAGGAGTGGAGAAAGGGGAAGGAGGAAAATCACTAGGATAGCAGAGGATAGTGGGAGGATGGGGAATGAAAGAATAGAAGAGATTCATTGAAAGGAACTTGAAAGGACAGGATAATAAAAGGCAATTATAATCAATATAAAATATAATCAATAGCAATTAATGTATATTAATATTGTATATGAATTATTGTATAAAGCACAATATATATTAAGTATTGTATAAAACACAATGCACATGAATGACACAATACATAAATGAAAAATTATACAAAACACAACATTACACGCATGAAACACAATGTATATTAATGACTATGTGCAAATCAATAAAAATACGTAAGAAAAGACTACTCATCCCTTACTGAAGAGTAAACAAACTTAGCAGTGATAGTGCATATCATCTAGCGTATAAACGCATCCCCGTTTTCCAGTGTCATATCGTACTGCTCTCTACATGCATGTAACAACTGGTGCAATTCTGTAAGCAGTTCTAAGCCGGGGAAAACAGCATCACTGCCTGGGGACTTGCTCAGTGCAGCTCTCAGGCCCAACCTGAGAACTTTATCAGAAAGATCTGCGAAGAAAGCCTAGAAATTGGTATTTATTTAGGTCCTCTCAGTGAGCCCTGAATTATTCACTCTTACATGAAAATTATCCCTCTTACCACCATGGCTTTGTTCTTGCCACTTCTTCTGTACTTTTCAATGCCTGGCTAGTGCAGTGTTTTTTGACTACATAGCCCAAAATTCTACAATGTCCACTGAAAGCTGTCATACAGTTATTAAAAATAAAAAGAAATGCAACTGTGCGTTGTTTCAAAAGGAATAACTTGGGTAATAAAAATGCTAAAAGTATTGCACATAAGAAAATGCATTCAGCCAAAATCACAGGATGGCAGAGATAATTTTTATATTTTTAAGGAAATGGAGTGCATTTTGAAATGAAAGTGATACCTGTTCATAAGCATGGCTCGTATCAATCTACCAATATCTGAAATAAAAGAACGGTGTGAAAGCTGAGAGGCTTTACCATTGGTGGAACAATCACTTATGTTTTTTATAAACTCAGAGAGATGATCTAACCTTTTCAAAAGTCACAGATTTAAACAGTGGTAAAGTCTGAGTTTGCTTATTCTCAGATGAAATAAATCTCTTAACACTTGTCAAAATTGGTTGATGTCCTCAAGAATCATAAAGCAAATACATTTTACATTTGCGAAAAAATAATTTAAGTCTACCCAATTACTGAATTCAGGTGTACTGCATTACTTTATCTATTCTTTAGCATATTCCTACAAATTTCAGTAAAGCCTAATATAGACTTAGAAGGAAAAATGTGGCTTCGATGTTAAGACTCAGGTTCATCTAAATAGATAACAACAGTACATAAATACACACCTATCTTTTGCCAATATAAAAATCTTAAGGTGAGATAAGTAAATGGTAACGAAAAAAAATCTCCAAGAGGCTTTACAGCTTTTATTTCCAGACCTCTCAGAGCTCGCGCAGAAGCAATGTCGCCATCCATTATTGTCATCACAGTGATGAGAAAATAACCAGGATTGCTAGCAGTTAAAACTTTGTTAAAACAAAATATATGATAATATTTTGGTACTAATATATATAGAAGCAGCATAAAAGCTCTCTAAATATTGTCAAAATTTAAATGTACATGTCACTCTATGTATTTCTACTGTATAGGAATCACTGCTAGTTCACATTACTTTTAAAATTTTTCAAAAACACCAGAAAATAAAAAGAAAGATTTTGCAACTCGGTGACAGGAATTGAGCTGGAGAGAGAATGATTGAATTTTGCACAATCAATGACTTATTCATAGCAAATACATTTTTTAAGAGACATAAACACAGGTGATATACATGGATTTCAACTGATGGTATGCATAGGAATCAGATCGATTACATCTGTTGAAAAAACTGTTGAAGAAGCTCATTATCAGCTGTGAAAACTAGGCCAGGGGCTGATTGTGGAACAGACCACCAACTACTCATATGCAAGTTCAAGCTGAAGCTGAGGAAAATTAAACCGAATCCATTGGAACCAAAATATGACTTTGAGTCTATCCCACCTGAATTTCAGAACCATCTCAAACAGGTTTGAGGCCTTGAACACTAATGAGCGAAGACCAGATGAGTTGTGGAGGATATCAAGGGTATCATCCAGGAAGAGTGCAAACGGTCATTGCAAAGACAGAAGACCAAAATCGATGTCAGAAGAGACTCAGAAAATTGCACTGGAGTGCAGAAAAGCCAAAGCACAAGGAAGAATTCAAGATACTAAAGAGTTGAATAGAAGATTTCAAAAGGCAGCACGGTATGACCAAGCAAAATATTACAATGAAATGTGCAAGGAGTTGGAGTCAGAAAATCAAAAGGTATGAACTAACTCAGCATTTCTTAAGCTCGAGGAACTGAAGAACAAATTCAAACCTTGAGTTGCTATAATCAAGGATGCTTTAGGCAGAATATTAAATGATTCAGGAAGTATTAAAAGAAGATGGAAAGAATATACTGAGTCATTGTATCGAAAGGAATTGGCAGACACAGAAGAATTTAATGAAACAACGCATGAGCAAGAGCCTACGGTGATGAAGGAAGACATTCAGGCTGCTTTTAAGGAAATGGCAGTCGCCAGAACAGATCCAGGGAACACTGCATGGTTCAAAATCGGGAAGGGCATATACCAGGGATGTGTCCTGTCCCCATACCTTTTCAACCTGTATGCAGAACAGATTATCCAGGAGGCTGGGCTCTATGAGGAGAAATGTGGGGTCAAGACTG